GAGGCTAAAGAGATGTGGAATTTATGGTGGAGGCTAAAGAGACACAAACTGTAGGTGCATATAGCTGTGATTTTGTTATTTAAGGAGGCATTTGGCTCATTTTGTTACATAATGGGACTTAATTTCAGGATTATTATTTTTTTTTTAATGCATGCACATTCAATCCTGATACTGTACTGTTTCTCTGTATTGTAGATTGGATTGACACTCGCTGAAATTACCATTAACAGCTGTCAGTGATCAAGAGATAAGGGTAGCAGTTCTTTTCAAAATGAAGGCAAATTCAAGGCTATTTAGAAATTTGACATACCTGAGTAGAAAAGCTTTGCAGAGCATTGGTTTATAAAGAGGTATGTTCAAGGTATATGTGCGAGAGAAATCAGATTATAAAATAGACTGAACCAGACCTACTGTGCCTCTAGAGAAAATCTTTGCCTGTGTTCTAGGGTTTAGTTTGAACTTGGTCTTATTTCTTGAAGCAGGGTACAGAGCTAAAAAGTTAGCTTCCCTCTAAACGGGAAAACACTCTTGGTCCATTTGATTTCTTCAGCATTTAAGAGTGTGGGGCTGGCATCTGTATCAGAAGACAGTGTTTATGTGGAATACCTTTGTTCTGCAGAGTTTGGGGAAAAAGAAAGCGCTACCAGTTACAGTGGGCACCACTAAGAACCTTTTGTTTCCCATAGCAAAAACTGATCCTATGAACTTGTACCCATGTGCAGGTCTACCTGTGTTGTAAGGTTCAGTGACTGTGGATTGACAGCATTTTACCTCAGCTGTATTCCTCTCTTGACAGCTGGGAGTATGGAAAAAAGTTGGGAGAATTTAAGAGATTTATTTTAAATCTGTAATTGGAGCTTAGGACCAGCTCTTCAGTTTCTTTTACTCAACGGTAAAGTATTTGTTAAAAGAGAGTAGCACTGAGAGCCATGGCGTAATTGGACATTAATTTAATTTTCTGAGTATTTTGTCTAGAATTCACTGGACTGTGTCTTAATGCTTTTTATGTGCAGTATAAAATGTTACTGGGCGAATATTTTTTTACGTGTTTTGGTGGTAGAATCTGCTGCACAGACTAATGTTGCATATTTTCAGCAAACCTGTAATACTTTGCCTTTCAGCATTGATTTCAGAGATGCTCGTTCCCACATTCTGCCTCCTGTGTCCCCCTTGTCTTGGAAGCCTGCTGTCAATATAAAGCAAATTTTTTCCCCCAAGAATTTTACCTTAAAAAAGAAAAAAAAAAAAAAAGAAAGCCAAAGCAATGTGAAGTGTTGCCTTTGGGTACATTTCTGAACTCTCTCTTCTAGGAGATACCATTTCCTTTGTTCCAAATGCATCACCTCAGTGCTTTGCTGAGGAAGGGCAAAAGCGCTGCCATCGAAGAAGACTCTTGCGTGGATTTATGGCATTTATCAATGAGCAGTTACCCACTGGTATTCACCAGTAGTTCATAATTCTTTCTGAGTAGACAAGGTTTTTGTGGGTTCATATTCTTCTTCTGACAAAATATTTATAACACCTTTGCCAAAGGCGGTGTTTTTCAAGGCTTAACTTTCGTAGTGCCAAGGACTCTTTAAAAGCAGAGACTGGGGCCTCCAAAAGCCAAGTACTAGTAGGCATAAAAGCCTACTGTGGCAATAGAAAAGGCTTTAAAAACTTTTATATTTGTTCATACAAGTGTTTCAGTGTAGAAAATTCTCCCTTTAAGCTTCATTAACTTTGTAAGACTGCAAACTAAGAGTCCAATGTTTTATGCATTTAACTTTAAGACAACAAGCATTAAGGGTGAAATACGGATTGCCAGCAAGAAGAAAAAAAATAAAATCGGATTTTCACCCAAGAACAAAGTACTGTCAGATCCCTCACTCTGCAGCACTCCAGTGTTACCCTAGATTGAAATTTTAAATGTGCCATTCAAAGAAAAATGCAGAATCCTGTGAGCAATATGCAAGTGGATGTATTGGCCTATAAAAAAAAAAGTCATAACTATAAGCTGCAAGACAGTGAGGCCTTTACCATGCTGCATCTCTCAGATCCTTCAGCACTGGTCCGCCTGTCTAGGATGGATGCAGTGATAAAACTTCTGCTAAATCACTACTGAGAATTTTTCAAAATCCCTCTCTCTTAATATACCACAGACAGCGTGATATAATGAAATACCTGTTCTGGTAGGCAGGGGTGAGATTGGAGTTAACAAAATGTGGAATATTTCTGAGGACTGCAATCCAGGATTGTAGATGTTACTTGTCTCCAGTGCATACTTGCCATTAATGTTGAGTATGTTCAAGTTCAACATTAAGCAAGCATGCAAACAGTGGATATGGTGCTCACAGCGGTTCTTCCTCAAATGCTAATACAGAATCTGTCGTTTAAAAGGAAAACAAAGAAGTTTTGTAATTCGTTACAGCATGAACACTAGCTCGTTTTTATAGCTGTTCTTTAAAATTCATATAATCATCAAATTCTATACGATACATTTAAAATAGCACAGACTGAATTCCAGAGTTGCTTTCACACAAGATGCTACAGGCTTGTACAAGGATTGCATGAACGACTTCACTTTGCAGTGCTACTGGTTGAAAAATGCTAGATCTGCAACATACGATTTTAATGACTATTTAAGTATTAGATTTCTGTATGGTAGCTCTGCAGCCACCGAAACTCTCTGTCTCCAAAGCAAGCTCCCTGCATCCGTCGCTATCTGCTTTTAATTTGCGTTGATGAACAAAAGTTGATGATAAAATTCACCACCACTGTAAATTTGACTTGGTTTACTGTTGTGCATTGCAGCTTTTCCTGTATTCCAGACTCTGTTTTCATTCAACTTCACAGCAAATCCACTGACCTAGTATCCCATTACACGCTCACAAAAACCTTTGTTACTACATCTCTAGTTCAATTCGAGTGGGACACAGTTCCCACTACCTGTTCTGGTTCGTATACGAGAGAAGCAGTGGGAAGAGTCGAGCATAAAGGGCCGCTGTGTTTCAGACAGGTTGTGTCGATGCGGGCGGCGCGTTTGCCTGTGGGTGCAGCACGCTGCGGAGAGCAGCCCGCTCGTGCTGTGCACGCAGGATCTGTTAGGGACGTAGGCTGGCAGCCTGCCCTCAGACTTAGCGTTCCCCTAAGCACCACAGTCTGGCCTGATCCCGTGCCTTGTAGGTTCAGGGAGAACGTGGTTTCTACGGCCGTGCGGCAGGCGGAGTGAGTGACATCTGCTCGAATAGGAAATTGCAGAGGATTACAAACAGCAGCCCCTTGTCTGAATGTTTTCCACATTTGTCATCCAAGCAGAAGGGACTGCAGAACGTTTCAGATTCAAAGTAGTTTTTTCTTTAAATCAAAGGCTTTAATGATTCTAGTAGTGCTGTGGTAGACTATGCTGTTAACTTAAAACTTGCCATCTTAAGCTCAGATTAACCATTTTTTAGAAGTGGAGACAATACTAGTGTTTAAAGTCATTGTGGAGCTACATTCAGTTAAAGATGCTTTTTGTTTTGCTTAGGGAAGTAGGAGTGGCTTGTGAGAACCACCTTGAGCAACTGCCCCTCCTGTCTGTAAATTCTTAACAGGTCGTAGTAAACTTCTTTGATGTGTTCCGTCTTTTTAATGTAATCCAGAACATACTCATCAGCACAAAAACCTCAAGCACCAGAATAAGGATATAAAGACAGATAGGCTGTTACTGCATCCTTAAAGCAAAGCCACTGTAGTTCCCATACATTTCTTAAAGCACTTTTTTTTTTTTTTTTCCCACAGACCTAAAGATTTTCGAAGGAAATAATAGCAATCAAAGAAGAAGAACTGCAGTCAGGAATGTCTCTCCTCCTTGAAAAAAAATTCTTCTAACATGGAAGCATCTGTGCATCTCGGTCAACCCTTCTGTACAGAATGGTTTTGCCAGGTGTTAGCAAACTTTATTTGAAAAGATTATAAAAATTACTGTGTTTGAAACAGCTGAGGATGGGTATTATGTTGTTAATGCCACCTGTAATCTGTGTTGTATGAGCTGGTGTTTGTTAATTGTATTTGCTTTAATACTATTATTAAAGAATTGATAGATTTCTAATGAATATTTGCATCTCATGGAAACAGTACATTGTTCACGGAAATGAAGTGTCGTGCTCTAGAAGTTGCAAAATTTGATTTCCACACAGTAAGAGCAGTGAATAATTACAGTCACAGAGCTCCCACAAACAGCACACTGTCAGTAAATAATCCGGTTTGCTTTTCTGTTAAAACAGGTGATCCATCCTTACACAGCTTGAGTGAAAGAATGGCAGTCTTGGTTAGGAAAAGGAGAACTGTTCATGTAGAACTCGTGCTCTCTTTGGGGGATATAAACAACCCCATGGTGTCCGCTGTTTTATTACTTCTGTAATAGGTTGTGCGGTTCTTCTGAAAGCCTTTTCTAGAATCCAGCTATGTCCACATCGTACGTACTGAATTAAATTAACGGATATGTTTTGCCAAATGCATGTCTACGCAGGCCTGCGGTTTCCTTGTCTTTTTAGGTGAATGCACCCACTGAAGTTATCATGGTGGAGGTAAGCAAAATCAGGCTTATTCCAGAGCCAAAGTCCGTTAGAAAAACACAACTCATCAGAGGAAGCCACGCACGTACCAAGTATGCATGCATGCATACTGCAGTCCTGATAGAGGGAGGAAAAATATTATTAGAAGATGCATCTTGGAGGAACGAGGAGCTGGTGAGATTGCTGATGGTCATTGTTTATGTCCTGTGGGAGTTTCTCTCACAGCAACCTCCCAGGAGTTTTTCTGCACAGCACACTTCGCCAATAGTTCAGCCTGTTTGTTATGAGCAAGGAAGTATTTGGTCTCCACCCATAATTTCTCATCCTAAAGCTTTGGCCATCTTTTGCTATGGAATGCCACATGGTGTGCTTGGCGCACCAAAGACGCAAGCCAAGGGGAAATCAGTTTATCCTCACAGAGGGCCTGCTTGCTACAGGGAGGAAGATCGCAGCATTTTAGTGTCTGGAATGTCTCGGATGCTGGAAGAGTGACCTTTCAGTTCCAGCAGAACGCACTGCTGCAATACTGCAGAGCAGCAAGGACAGCATGAATTTCAGAGGTGATGCTGTCCACTAGCTTGCATCCAAACAGCCCAGCGCGTTGGTGGGAAGGGTGTGCCTCCAGGAGCTGCACAGTGCGCGTGGGCAAGCGATGAGTGAGAACTACTTTCATTTTTAATAATCTTACTGGTTTTCAGGCTGTTGTTAGTGGGCTCTGCACTTAAATCTCTAGTGTGCTGCATGACAACATCAAGGTTGACTCTTCTCTACTTTCGAGGTGCCAGATGGTATTAAATATATTCCTAGTGCCATTTCATTCGTGATACGGGGATGCTGCGTGATTGTCAGCGGGAGGGTTGATGTCCGTAACGCCCTGTCTGCCCCAGCAAGCAGGCAAGCAGAACGCCTCTCCCTCTAGGCGTAGCTTTTGAAGATGGCACCCTTCGGCCTCGCAGTGCTCTTTACCAACGAAAACACCCGTGTGGGGCTGTGCAGTGCATCTTCCTACGTGGCTCTTCCTCCATAGGAGCCGGTCTGTTGACAACCCTGAGCAATGTGGCTTTCGTAAAGAGCTTATTGAAATAACAGACAGTAACGGCAGATCATATGGAGCTACTCTTCCTTTTTCTCTCCTAAGCCCAAATCTGATTTTGATTCAAGTCACAGGAACATGCCTTCCTTACTTGGAGAATGTATTGAAGAATGAAGCAACATTTTTCTTATGAAAACCAAATGAGGAAACTAAACTGAGGTGTTGAATGATGCCAAATCAGTTTTAAAAATTATTTTGCTTCTGCAAATCACTTCGCTGAAGATCATCGCTGCTTTTCTGCAGAGGTAGCCCTCAAGCCAAAGCTGGTGTGTAAATAAATGAAGTGCCTGTTGTTTTCTCTAAAGTAGAAGATGCCGATACGTTATCTGCCAACTTTTGCAATGTTGGATGAGGAAAATTTGTGTTTTCTATATCCACTGTGTACAAG